AGAATGAAACACTGCCTGGTCAGTCCTATGCCATCTTCACAATTGTTGCTATGCTTGAACCCATTGTTGCAACCACTGTGTCAGTCCATCTCATTGAGGGTCTTCTTCTTTTTCGCTGACCCTCTACTGAACATGATGTCCTTCTCCAAGGACTGGTTCCTCCTGATAACATGTCTAAAGTATGTGAGACAAAGTCTTGCCATCCTTGCTTATAAGGAACATTCTGGCTGTACTTCCAAGACAGGTTTTGTTTGTTTTTCTGGCAGTCTGTGGTATATGCAATATTGTTCGCCAGTATCGTAATGCAAAGGCATCAATTCTTCTTTGGTCTTCCTTATTCATTGTCCAGCTTTCACATGCATATGAAGCAATTGAAAACACCATGGCTTGGGTCAGGCCCACCTTAGTCCTTAAAGTGCCATTTTTGCTTTTTAACACTTAAAAGAGGTTTTTTTGCAGCAGATTTGCCCAATGCAGTATGTCTTTTGATTTCCTGACTGCTGCTTCCATGGACGTTAATTGTGAATCCAAGTAAAATGAAGTCCTTGACAACTTCAATATTTTCTCCTTTTACCATGAGGTTGCTTATTGGTCCAGTTGTGAGGATTTTTGTTTTCATCATGTTGAGGGGTAATCCATACGGAAGATTGTAGTCCTAGATCTTCATCAGCAAGTGCTTCAAGTCCTCTTCACTTCCAGCATATCACAGGTTGTTAATGAGTCTTCCTCCAATCCTTCTTCATGTAGTCCAGCTTCTCTGATTATTTGCTCAGCATACAGATTGAATAAGTATGGTGAAAGGATATAACCGTGACAAATACCTTTTTTGACTTTAAACCACGCAGTATCCCCTTGTTCTGTTTGAAGGACTGCCTCTTGATCTATGTACAGGCTCCTCATGAGCACAGTTAAGTATTCTGGAATTCCCATTCTTCACAATGTTAGCCATAATTTGTTATGATCCACACAGTTGAATGCCTTTGCATAGTCAATAAAACACAAGTAAACATCTTTCTGGCATTCTCTGCTTTCAGCTGGGATCTGTCTGACATCAGCAATGATATCCCTTGTTCCACATCTTCTTCTGAATCTGCCTTGAACTTTTGGCAGTTCCCTGTTGATGTACTGCTGCAACTGCTTTTGAATGATCTTCAGTACACTTAAATGTTTATAGCAGCTCTATTCACAATAGTCAAAAGGTGGAAATGACCAAATATCCAACACTGAATGAATGGATAAACAAATAGTAGTATATACATACAATGGAATATTACTCAGCCATAAAAAGGATGAAGTACTGATACATGCAACAATGTAGGTGAACCTCAGAACATTATGTTAAGTGAAAGAAGCCAGAGACAAAAGGTTACATATTGTATGATTCCGTTTGTAAGAAATATCCAGAATAGATAAATCTATAGAGACAGAACGTAGATTGGTGTTTTTAATGTTTGTTTGTTTGTTTTTTTGAGGGGGTGGAGAGGAGAAGAGGAGGTGGGAATAGGAAGAAATTACTTAATGAGTAAGGAGTTTTACTTTGGAATCCTGGAAATATTTTGTAACTGGATAGAGTGATTGCATAGCGTTGTGAGCGTACTAAATGCCACTGAATTGTTTACTTTAAAATGGTTAGTTTTATGTTTTGTGAATTTTACCTCAATAAATTATTTTTAAAAGTAGACTTTATTGTTTAGAACAGATTTACAGAATAACTGAGAAGATAGTATAGAGATTTCCCATATATCCTACACTCATTTCGCTCTGTTACTGACATCTTATATGTTAGTATGATACAGTTGTTACAATTAATGACCCAATATTGATATATTAACTAAAGTTCATACTTTAGTTATATATTTCTTTATTTTTTACCCAATGTCCTTTTTCTTGTGATTAGACTGGAGTTATGGGTTTTGGGGAGGAAGATCACAGAGGTAAATTGCCATTTTCATAACATTATGTCAAGAGTAAGGAGCCCTGGTGGCACAGTGCGTAAGCGCTTGGCTGCTAAATGAAAAGTGGAACTCTCCAGCCGCTCCGCAGGAGAACAATGTGGCAGTTTGCTTCTATAAAGATTACAGCTTTGGAAACCCTATGGGGCAGTTTGCTATGAGTTGGAATCGACTTGAAGGCAATGGGTATATCAAGGGTACATACTGTCAACATGACTTATCACTGTTGATGTTAACCTTGATCACCTGGCTGACTTAGTGTTTGTCAGCAGTATCTTTTTCCTCTTTTCCTGGTAGTGGCAGAGGAAGCAGCAATACCCAGTTTCCAGGTCAGTAGTGTCAGCAGCACCAGCAGCTGTGTACTATGCTGATGGTGTTGGCAGTGCCAGTTTTCCCATCTAGTACCCAGGAGTCCCTGGGCGGTGCCAATGATTAAGTGCCTAACTACTAGCTGATAGATTGGTGGTTCAAACCCACCCAGAGGCACCTTGGAAGACAGGCCTGGTGAGCTGCTTCCAAAAGGTCACAGCCTTGAAAACCCTATGGAGCAGTTCTACTCTACACTTGTGGGGTTGCCATAAGTAGGAATTGACTCAGTAGCAACTAACAATAGTACTGAATGGCAGTGATATCATCATCGGACCCATTCTGTGATATGATTTTGGCCTGTGGTTTTGGCTGCAGGGCCGGAATTACCCACCCTTATTTCAATAATTTTCGTTTTAGCTTAAATCATTCAGTCAGTTTTTGTTACTTGCAACTAAGAGCCTTGACTGATCCATCTTTATATGATCTTGGGGTATGTTAACTGTTTCTTTCAAGTGAAGCCTTCTGGCCTTTTATACCTTAGCATAAAAAGTAATGGTTTCAAGCAGGCAAAATTTCCTGGCAGTGTGGAGAAGCCCCACTGACATCTATCTTGGTGAAATGAATCAGGAGCATGACTCTCTCAGCGTATCAGTTATGCATTGCTACATAACAAGCCACCTTAAAACTTAGTGTCTTAAAAGAGCAATCATTTTATTTTGCTCACAGTTCTATGCGTCAGGCATTTGGAGAGGCCACAGCAGGGGTGGCAGTTATTGGTAATGGCAATATTTAGGAAATGATCATGGGAGTGAATGGCTAAGATCATTGGAGGAGTGAAGATCAAGGAAATCTGAGAATCCAGAGTATTCGAATATTTGATTTTATGTGAAAATATAAATCACCAAATAGTTTGTTGGAGAGAGTGACAATGAACCAGGAGTTAAACTCTTCAAGGAAAAGGGAGGAATGACCTAGAGTCTAAAATAAAACAATCCCATAATCCTACTCTCTCAAACAAACCCTGTTTCCTCCTCCTTCTTCAGTGAAACTTCTCCAAAGTAATGTCCATATTTGCTGTTTCCATTTTCTTGCTTTCCTTCCTAGGTACACTCCATTGAGGCACCTTCCCCACTAAGCTTATACTTCATGATTCATCATTTTAGTAATTCCTTTGTCAATACCCTATCACCCTCAATTTTCTGTCCTTCCTTCACATTCCAGTACACTAAATTAGATCCCACCAAGGTCACCAACTTCAACCATGTTACCAACTTCAACTGATAATTTTCTGTCCTTCTCTTCTGTCACCTCAACTAGCGCATATTTTTGAATGAGGATTTTCACTGATCATCATAACCCAGATTAGAGTTTGTCTGTTGTAGTGCAGCTCCAGTGTTTTTAAAAGGAGAATTCAGAAATGTGTGTTAACACATTATCTGCCAGTCATTGCTTTAGTTGTATTGGATACACCCAGAGTTGGATAAGATGAAATAAAAGGTCAATAAATAGTTTAAAATGGATGCATAGATGCATGAATACCTGAAAGAAAGAAACAAGAAGTTCAGCTACTAGATGTTTGCTCAATGGAGAGGTCAGTCTGGATTCTGGGCTCATGGCAATTGTAGAATGGTTACTATGGGATTGATTAGAACATTGTGTGAAAGAGGGAAGTGGCTGTCATCCAATTTATTAAGACTAAGGGGTCTGTAAGAACCTGAAGTGGACTCTGGAAATGACCATTCTATGGCAGTGGAGCCACAGTGATACATGGGTATACAGACATCTAAGCCTATGGGAGGTCAGCCAAGAATTGGTAAAACTCTAATTTCTAAAATTCTAATTTCTTTTTTGGTTTCTCAAGAGATACTTATTGGGTAAATTGGGCTTATTCAAAGGAGAATGACCAGGATGAATCTTGGGAACCAAAGCGTGTTAGATAAAGGAGTAAAAGGTGGTTGGCTAGGAGAATTGAATTTGGGAAAATATAGAAACAGACTTTCAGGGAGTTGTGGTTTAGAAGAATAAGGAGAATAGTTCTAGGAGGAAAACTGGGGACAGTGAGTTGAAGATACAGGAAAATTAACTTTAACTTACCATGAGGACTATCTTTCTAATAGTAAAAACTATTATATAAGAAGTGCATCATTCTTATTTAGACAAATGCTGGACAATTACTCAATAGGAATAGCATGGAAGGGTTTAAATTTCAGATATAAGGTTGGATTAGATGACTGTGGAATTCCCTTTGAACTCTGATAGTCTATGCTTATATGACATGTGGAGTGATGATATGAAAAACTCATTTTTATGGAGCTTTCAGAGGAGAACACTGTGAATGAGGAAGCAATATTGGCTCTGGTACCTTTTCACAAGGTGAAATGTTCTGGGCCATGAATGATCCCAGTATTAAAGACTCTTGTAGATATTTTGTCTTGATGAGAGCTTATTCCTAGTTTTGCATGACATGGACATTCAAACTTGAAATATTTTTAATGTTAGAACCAAACATATAACTCATATTAGATGTTATTTCAGGATAATCCAGTTTAAACCTCCTAGAGTTCATTTCTCATTGTACTTCATACTTGTCCATGTGTCTTAATTTCCTAGAGCTGCTATAACAATACCACAAACTGAGTGGCTTTAAAGAACAGAATTTATTTTCTCACAGTCTGGAGGCTAAAAGTCCAAATCGGGGTCTTGGTTGTGTTGTTTCATTCTGTGAGCCCGTCTCCTAGTTTCTGGTGACTGCTGGCAATCTTTGGCATTTCTTTGCTGCTTACAGCTGCATCGGCCTCCGTCATCACATAGCGTCTCCCGCTAAGTGTCTGTCTCTCTGTGTCTGTACTCACTCAGAAGGATTAGGTGTAGGACACCTTACTTCAGTATGACCTCATTAACATAACAATAAAAACTTATTTCCAAGAAGGATCACATTCATAGGTTTAGGGTTAAGACTTCAACATGTATTTTTGGGGGACATAATTAAATGCATAGCACCGTGGCAGCTGTATTAACCAAAAACTCCTCAAGTTAATACTTGAGACCTTTCATAATCAGAAATAATGTAACATTTCATGTTTACTTCTTCTTTAGGTTCCAGTTAGAGTGAAGGTTTCAGTTTCTAGAACATCTCTTTCATTTTTCTGCTGCTTCTTGAAATGACCCAATTCATAACTGCCTAGAGAAATCCTATTCCTCATTTAAGGATGTTACCATATATCTAAAAGTCAGACCCAGAGGTCATCACCTCTGAGAAAAAGGCTTTTTTCCAGCTAATTTTCTGAGAGCCCCTTTGACATCCTTGTTCCTCAGGCTGTAAATTATGGGATTCAGCATTGGAGTTACCACCGTATAGAACACAGATATCGTCTTATCCCACTCTTTTGTGGTCTTGGAGTTTGGTTGCATGTAGGTAAATATTCCTGATCCGTAGAAAAGGACAACAACAATGAGGTGGGAGCCACATGTAGAGAAAGCCTTGAGTCTCCCCTCTCCAGACTGCATCTGGAGTACAGTGGAAATAATATTCCAGTAAGAGACAAGGATAAGGGAGACAGGAGCTAGAAGGATTACCACACCCATTGCAAAGATGGCCATTTCTGTGCTGTAAGTGTCTGCGGAAGCCAGCTTCAAAAGGGCAGGAGGTTCACAAAAATAGTGATTGATTATGTTCTGTCCCTGATAGGGAAGATGGAAAGTAAAAGTGGTATCCACCAGAGACTCTAGAGCTCCACTAGCCCAGGACCCAATGGCCAACTGGAGACACACCTCCTGAGTCATGATGGTGGAGTAGTGCAGAGGCTTGCAGACAGCTACATACCGGTCATAGGACATCACTGCCAGTAGTGCACACTCTGTACACCCAACCAGAAGGAAGACAATTATCTGTGTCATACACCCAAAAAAAGAAATGGTCTTTTTCTTTACCAGGAGGTGGATCAACATTTGAGGGACAGTGCTAGTAGAGAAACAGAGATCTGCAAAAGAGAGATTGCTAAGAAAAAAGTACGAGGGTGTGAAGTCGAGAATCCATATGGATGAAAATGATGATGAGCTGGTTTCCAAGCACAGTCAATAGATAAACAATGAGAAAAAGGATAAATAGCAGGATTTGGGTCTGCAAGTCCTGTGAAAGGCCCAGGAAGATAAATTCAGCCACAAAGGTTTGATTTTCTTCTCCCATTTATGTTTATTCCTGTTTACCTGTTTGGCATAAACAAAAAGAACATCAGATCCTATAGAATCTGATTTGTAACATTGATTGGTTCATGTTTGCTAGTGGGTAGTGTCTCTGTGCTTTAAAAAGTCACACGTTTCTATTCCCTTTCTTCTTCATGGGACATGACTGGTAAGTTGAACGAGGTTCCCGTTAAGAACTTTATTTACTTCCTTCTCTTGGTCTTGAATCATGCCTAGTTGCACTTGTCATCACTTTGTTATTTTGTAGCGTTTCGTCAGGCAGAAAGTAATATGATGATAAAATGTGAATTTAAGCTGTTGGGCAGGTTGAGGCCCTTGAAGGACTTTAGGCTAGGCCATGTACCTCAGTCCAGTCTTATCAGAGCTCTGAACTTGAGGGGCATTAGGGACTAGCCCAATTTATAAAAGAGGTACCTCATTTTCCATTATTTCTGGTTTGCTTTATAGAACTCTAAAGGGAGGAATGACCGGGCCTAGAGTAGTATTATGAGTTCTTGAGTCTCCTAGGCGTCATATCATCTGCTACCCCTAAAACTTACCTTATCCCAATTTTTAAATTCACTTCTAGGAGTATATGTAAATACTATAAATTTCAGAAATATATTCACAAATAGAGCTGTTTATCACATCATAATAAAATAATGAAAATAATTTTAATAGCCAACATTAGAGGTTTAGGTAAATTATACATTCATATTATGGAATATTATGCAGTCATTAAGGTGAAGCTTGTGAAGAGATTTCTCTGACATTGAAAATGCCTTTTATATAATTCTAATTGAAAAACTCAGGATTCAAAATTGTATATATACTTTCAAATAGCTATCTGGAATAGTAAAAGGGGGGCACAGTACTGGCACAATATCAACAATATTTTGGCAAAATATCTGTTCCTTTAGCTGTAATTTGGGTTACCAAAATTAGTGAAATATTCATCCCTATTCAAAGAACCACTTCCTCCCCCGTAATTATTTCTGACATTTCACAGGGAATAACTTACTCGTTCTCAGGAACACAGCCCCAAAGTGATGCCTGTCATTTTCTTTTTCCCTTTTCTGGTTATGTAGATGCTATCTGAGCACTATTGTTTCCTCTGGATCCTTAGTTAATGATTGTTATTATTAATAATAATGATAATCACCTCCCATTGGTGCCTACCAAAGGTAATTTTGCTAACACCTTGGGGACCAATGCTAATGTTTTCAAATTATACAGAAAAAAACTAGAGGAAAATATTTCCAAATTTTTAGGAGTGATTGGCCCTAAGTACTGGGATTATGGTAAGTTATTTTTTTCCTTTTCTAATGTTTTTGAAATTTAAAGTCTTTTCTTTAAAAGACCATGTAATACCAACATAAATATATAAAAAGTGGGAAAATCTTAACAGTACTTAATTGATGCTCTAAACTAAGTCACTTCATTGCTTTTACTTTTAGCCTTCATAGGGTAACTATATCATACTAAGCGTTTTGTTGGAAGCAGATGTAAAACTGGGTAAGATATTTGGAACAACTGTTTTCAGACATTGGATAACAGGAGCTTGGGAGCTAATCCAACAAAAAAAGGAGACAAACAGGTGAGCTTCACAATCACACTAGTTGGAGCCTGAGCAGAACACAGTGGCCTTACTAAGCTGAGGAAACAGACATGAATAATTGGTGCTGGCAAAGCATATGGAGACTGTGGAAGACAGCAGCAGAAATAGGAACTGCACAGAGAAGGAGCTCCAGGAATCCACATGTCTTGGCTGAATATTAAATTGTGCACACACACGGTAAACCTGCCAAGCCCAACGAAGAACAGTTGCTATGTAGCTTATGTAAAGTTGGAAGATTTTGGAATTCCAGCCAGCCAGAGTGGAGAACCTTCATTGAATACCCTTGTCACTGAGTTGATACCCTAGAGAGGACAGGCCTTAAGAGTAAGGCTGTGATGAGTTAAAGTTGTAGTCTCCGCAGTAACCAGTAAAACAGCTAAAAATCAAACGAGAAATTTAAAATGGAATAATTTTAAAACTACTTGACTAATTCATAAGAATGCAAAAAAGGAAGATAAAAGGAAAAAAAGAATAAATGGAAAAAATTGCAAGATGGTAGGTTTAATCCCAGTCATATCCATAATTATATTAAAAGTAAATGGACTACTACTCAGCAGTAAAGAAAAATGAGTTTCCAAAACATCTTACAGCCTGGATGAACCTGGAGGACATTATGTTGAGCAAAATAAGTCAATCACACAAATGAATAATGTATGTTCTTACTTTTATGAAATGATGTGAACAGGTAAAGATACAGAAACTAATGTTCATTAGTGGTTACCAGGGATGGCGGGAGAGAGGGGAATTCATCTCTAGATAGTAGATACTTGTTATTTTTGATGATGGGAAAGATGAGAGTGAAGTGTGCACAGCTTGACGAAGGTAAACATTGTCACTAAGATGTAGTCAAGAAAAAAAGGACCTTTTGGTATTGCTATGGCATATGTAATTTTGCAACAACAGGAACAACCAAAGAGTAGATATGCAGGTATATATGTATGTGTGTAGGCATATATGTGTATAGGTGTGTATATGTGAGTATATATGTGTGTATGTATAGGTGTATGCATATACATATATATTCATAGGCATATTAAAGCACAGAGGGACACAGTTATGGATACTTCTTAGACATAACTAACCACCTCATGAGATTGATTTTCTGGGTTTGAAGGCTTAGGACCCTAGTCTCGTGGGACAACTCAGTCAATTGGCATAATATAGTTCAAAAAGTTTATGTTCCACATCCTAGTTTGGTGAGTAGTGTCTGGGGTCTTAAAACGTTCTGAGCCGCTGTCTAAGATACAATTGTTGTTCTCTACTCATCTGGAGCAAAAGAGAAAGAGGAAATAAAAGACTCAAAGAAGAAACTAGTATGTAGTACTAATAGTATATATAAGCCATGGCCTCATCTACCCTGAGACCAGAAGAACTAGGTGGTTTCAGATACCATTATTGACTGTTCTGATCAGGGCCACAATAGATGGGTCTTGATGGAATGGGAGAAAAATGTAGAACAGAACCTCAAATTCTTAACAAATCCAGGCTTGCTGGACTGATTGAGGACTCCCAAGAATTTTGCCCTGAGATACTGTTTAAACCTTGAACCAAAACTAGCCCCTAAGGTCACCTTTTAGCTAAATAACAGGTTGGCTCACAAAATAAAGTACATCACCCATGAGTACTGTACTCCTTTAAAAAATCCTATGTGAGACCAAACCATCAACAATTACTTTAAAACAAAGATGAGACAGTAAGGGGACAGGGAAAGATTAATGGAAATGGTACAACCAGAATAGAAATGAAAATGTTCATGCATTGTGAAGAATGTAACCAATGTCACTGAGCAATTTGTGTAGAAATTGTTGAATAGGAACCTAAACTGCTGTGTAAACCTTCACTAAAGACACAGTAAAATATTATTTTTAAAAAAATTAATGGACTAAACATTCTAATTAAAAGACAAAGATTGTCTGAAAGGATAAATAAAGCAAGACTAACAACATGTTGTCTATATGAGATGCATTTTGTATATAAAGGCACAGTTGTGTGAAAGTAAAATAATGGAGAAAAGATATATTATGGAAACTCTAGTCATAATAAAGCTGGGATAAAAAAACCAAGCCAAACCATTGCCATCAAATCGATTCCGACTCATAGCGAGAGAAAAATTTTGAGTATTATCAGAAATAAGAAAGGATGTATCATAATAATGAAAGTGTCATTCATTAAGAAGACAAAACAATACTAAATATATATGCACTTAAAATAGAAATTCAAAATATACAAAGAAAATTGATAGAATTGAAAGGATAAATAGACAGATCCACAGATATTGTTGGAAATTTCAAGATTTATTTCCTGTTAGAAAACACAGAAAGAAAATCAGTAATATAGGAGGCTTGAACAACACTAACAACCAACTTGGCCTGTTGTTGTTAGGTACCATAGAGTCACTTCTGACTCTTAGCAACCTTATATACAACAGAATAAAACACTGCTGGGTCCTGTGCCAAAGTCACAATCATTGCTATGTTTGAGCCCGTTGTTGCAGCCACTGTGTCAATCCATCTCATTGAGGGTCTTCCTCTTTTTTCACTGACCCTCCAATTTACCAAGCATGATGTCCTTTTTCTGGGGACTGGTCCCTCCTCCTGATAACATGTCCAAAGTATGTGAGATGTAGTCTTGCCATCCTCACTTCTAAGGAGCATTCTGGTTGTACTTCTTCCAAGACAAATTTATTTGTTCTTACTAGCAGTCTATGGTGTGTTTGATATTCTTTTCCAACACCATAATGCAAAGGCATCAATTCTTCTTTGGTCTTCCTTATTCATTGTCCAGCTTTTGCATGCACATGAGGCGATTGAAAACACTATGGCTTTGTCCTCAAGTGACATCTTTGCTTTTTAACACTTTAAACAGGTCTTTTGCAGCATATTTTCCCAATGCAGTGTATCATTTGATTTCTTGACTGCTGCTTCCATGGACATTAATTATGGATCCAAGTAAAATGAAATCCTTGACAACTTCAATATTTTCCCTGTTTATAATGATGTTGCTTATTGGTCCAGTTATGAGGATTTTTGTTTTCTTTATGTTGAGGTGTAATCCATAGTGAAAGCTGTGGTCTTTGGTCTTCAAGTCCTCTTTGCTTTCAGCAAGCAAGGTTATGTCAGCTGCATATCGCAAGTTGTTAATAAGTCCTCCTCCAATTATGATACCTCGTTTCTTCTTCATATAGTCCAGCTTTTTGGATTATTTGCTGAACATACAGATTGAATAAATACAGTGAAAGCCTACAACCCTACTGTACATCTTTCCTGATTTTAAACCATACAGTATCCCCTTGTTCTGTTCAAACAACTGCCTTTTGGTCTATGTACAGGTTCCTCATGAGCACAATTAAGTGTTCTGGAACTTCCATTCTTTATAATGTTATCCATAATTTGTTATGATCTACGCAGTTGACTGCCTTTACATAGTCAATAAAACAAGGATATAATACAGGAGAAACTAGCACAACTTGTACAAGGAAAGGTCATGGAAGCCCCATAGACACATCCAAACTCCCTGAGGGACTGAATTGCTGGGTGGAGGGCTCTGGGGACC